CGCTTAACAGCTGGTGCTCCTCCAGGTACCTCATAAGCTGGCAATTGATGGTCGTTTCCATGACTTTCGAGAACAAGGGGGTAATGGCAATTGGCCTGTAGTAGGGACTAAAATTAGGCCTCCGGCACCACACTCACCAGACGAAACGCGGAATTGCTCCCACTTCACGCCTGTCTTCTGTGTGGTCGTGGTATTCGACAGGGTGAGCCGACCCATGCGTTGCGAAGATGTTGAAGCGGGATCTACCACTGTTGAGAAGAAAATTGACATAACCCTTAGAACATCGGCATACACGTCCCATTCTATTCTATTCGAAAAATATAATAATCTCGTTAAACCTATGGAACTGATTTCGTGTGGCAACAATTTTATTAAAAAATTGTTCCTATTTGTAATATATTGTGATAAATGTAGGTAGGTTTGTATAACCTACCGTCAATTTATTTGAAATAAATCAGTCCCAAACCAACCGCCGTTTCATTACGACCTATACGTTACACTATTGAATGAACATTGATTGACGGCATATTTCCAATGTATTTTTAATCGTGGTGTAATATTTAATTTGTAATAATTTGATTTGTTAATATACTGAAAAAATATTTCTAGGCGCCAATTCAGAAATATGTATGCATAAACCGCGGATTAACTCTGAAATAATGGATTTAATTTTGAATTGATATTAATTTTTAGGGATTGTACATTATGTCGGATTTTAATATTTGTCATAAATGTCAGGTTACTCAGCGGCGCTGGCGGCGGTGCTGGGCGCGGTGGCGAGGTCCCCGCTGGGCGTGCCGCACGGCCGCGGCAAGGTCGCCTTCAACGCGGCCGAGCAGCTGCTGCGCTCCGCGGGACAGAGCAGCCGCCTCACCGCAGCACGCACTAATGCTGGCTGGCTCATCGTTGGCGCTATATGTACATTAGGTATAACACAAGTTAAAAAGTGCTTTTAAAGTCAATTTCTACCTAACATCAAATGAAAAGCCAAGCCCTTTCATTAGGGTAAGGTACACTATAAAAAATCTATAATGTATTTCGACACAAGATAGCGGATGTTTTGCACAACACGAATATTGATTAGTAGAATATAGAACACTTCATAAAAAGAATTATAGAACACAGGATGGCCGCCGTTACAAAATTGTATTAATCGTTTGTTACATAAGGTTATGAAACTAAAGTTTTTGACATTGCACGAAAGGTGCCCTTTATCTATATCTATACTAATATTATGAAGAGAAAAAATTTGTATATTTGTATGTATTGTAATAACTCAAAAACACTACTGGGCCGATTTTAAAAATTCTTTAACTATTAAAAAGCTATGTTATCTGTCAGTAACATGGTCGTATTTTGACTATTTTTTAATTTCACGCTGACGAAGTCGAATCGTATTTTACAAGTACTTCCGAAACATATCGTCATCTCTGTTTATTTGAAAGTGAATAACAGTGATGGCTATATGTTTCTCAATAGACTTTTAAAGTATAAAGTATGTGGTATGTTCCAGGAGTACCAGTGGTGCGAGGCCTGCTGCCCCGCATGCTGCTGCTGTGGAGGAACAGCTTCCCGCGCTCCGCCAAGGAACTCGAGTCGGAGAAAGCCAGGGGAGATGCATTCACTTGGCAGGTAACTTTAAACAAATATTTATTTACTAGGACTTCCTGCCAACAGCACACATATGTTAAATTTTAAAAGTCATTATTTTTTTTTACATATGCATGCCAATAAAATGCATGTACAGAATATAGCAGCTATATGTAAAAGTTATCTATCCCCTAGTGGGCATTAAAAAAATTACAGTGTTATAAAAAATATTCTAATCTATCTTACTTAGAAATAATATAGTTATCTAAACGTGAAATAGTTTTTGTAGTTTTTAAGTTCCATCGTTACGAATATACAAAATAAAAAAATTCCTCCTTATTACTGTAGACATCATAACATGTGTAATCATCAGCATAAATCTTGTCACCCAAAACCAGATTATAAACTTTTTTAAAGCATAAATTACAAGTAAATTTAAATTATATTTGTTGCTAGGTGACATTAGAAGGTCGTGCGGGCGCACTGTCAGCTCTGCACAGTCTGCTACTGCACTGCCCCTCGCTGGTGCACAACGATGACACCGCCAAACGACTCACGCAGCCCATAGATGGCGCCATCGCTGTTCTTACTAAGTGAGGATTACATTACTATTAAAACTCGTACTATATAGATTTATGATTTGTTTCGATGAATATATATTACTAGTTATCGGCCGTTATCGTTCGGATATAAAAAAAAAATAGCAAGTAGCCTAATATGCTCTATATCTGTATCAAATTTCATCCAGATCCGCAGCTGTTCTGCAAATACCTTGTAACAAACAAACATCCATCCATCCATCCAAACATTTATAATATTAGTAAAACTTTTATTTCCCTGCTTAGAATATTTTTTATAGATTTATCTTAATAAGTCGTATCATGTCGATAGTATCCTTATTGACAATATCTTTACTAATTATTATTTTTTATAATTTCTTTTTCAGTGTGAGTACAGTGGTACGTAACTACGGCGGTGCTCTGAAGGCGCCGGCCGCGTTGCTGCGGCTGCGGCTGTACCAGGCGTGCGGCGCGCTGGGCGGGGCGGGCGCGCCCGCGGCGCCGCTGCTGCGTCTGCTCGCCGCTGAGCTGGCGGGCTCGGCAGACCCCAGCGGCGCTAATGTTGCCACGGGTGACTAAATACGCAACTAGCTGTCACTCGCGAAAAATTAAAAAAATCATAAATAAATCTTTCCTTTTTATGATATTAATATAGATAGTATAGACTAAACTGGCGCATTCAGATTCGTTGTCTCCCATAGTAAAGATTAATTATGGGAAATTTACATGATTGAATGTGGCGAAATATTCTAAATTTTGATAGGCGTAAAACAGCATTGAGTAATGAATAAATTGTTATTTTTTAAAGGAATTCTGAGAAACGCAATGCACCCCCGAGACACAATACTGCTGGGTGAAGAAAGTTGGATCTATGAAACGGATCATGCTGAAATTGAAGAACAGGTATGGTATATTTCTTTTCAAAAATGTTGGAGGCTCAAAGTCTCCGTTCGCAGCTTGTATGCTGTAATTGTTATATTAAAACAATAAACTGAACTATATATACTAAGACTGATTAAGTGAATGAATGATGTATAATGAATGAATGTATTTCCAGCTGATATCGCCGCTGAGTGCGAGCGGATCAAGCGCGTTGGAGCACGACCCATGCTGTCTGTACCGCGGCACGGTGGGCGCGGGGGGTGCAGCGGGCATGGGGGGCGTGGCGGGTGCAGGGGGTGCGGTGGGCGCGCAGCCGCTGGGCGTGGCCGTCATCGACGCCTCCGTACTGCTGTTCCCGCAGATATTCTCCAGAGCCGCCAACAAACATAGGTCAGTGAACGAGTTAATCTCCAGATGACTAATTTAAACACAAGTGAATGAAAATAAGAATTGCAATTTATGGCTAGTCATATTCCCTGTCTATAAACAAATGAAATGTAATTAACTTATTAAAACTTTCGTGAGACATTATATAATTTATGTAAATTTATATAATATATGTAAATGAAATGTAAGAATACCCTTTCTTACATTTTGTAAAACAAATCTTAACTACTATCTAATTATCTTTACTAAACAACTATTTTATACTAGCTTTTTGTCGTATGTTTAGACAGCAGATGCTGGAGCACTTCGCGGAGTGCATCAAGATGTCGAAGGGTGGTCGGCAGGAGGCGATACAGATCAACGTGTACACCGCGCTGCTGCTGGCGCTGCGCGCGCTCGCCGACACCAAGACCTCGCTCGGACAGGAACCTGTCAAGACTGTCGCCGTCGAACTTATTGTGGTACGTCTATTTGGACATAGTTTGCTTACGCTTCGTTTACTTTGATAAAATTTGTTGCCCTGGATTTATTCAAACTATATGATTTTTAATAAATTAACAAAGAAAACCTACATTGTAAATAACCGTTCGGTAAATCTGATAATAAGATATCCGGCTCGAAGGACCTTTTTCTTTAAATTTGTTCTTGTTGTTTCTTATAAGTTGAACAAATCAACTCAACTTAAAAAAATCTTTTCCCAATAGAAAGCTACTTTGTCGCTTATGACATAAACCATGTTTATTATTAGATTTTTTTAATCTCGGCTCAGAATTCACGGACAAGTCTTTATGCATTAAAAAATGTTTTCCAGAATGGTCTATCATCGAACAGCGTGACAGTGCGTGCGGCGGCGGCGTCGTGCGCGGGCCGGCTGTGCGGCTGCGTGGCGGACGCGGACTCGCAGGCGCTGAGCGAGCGCGTCATATCGTTGGCGCGTACTGCGCCGTCGCGTACTGTTCGCGCTGCAGCAGCTGCTGCTGCGGGCGCGGTGCAGCGCGCGCGCGGCGCCGCCTCCAGCGCAGCTGCGCTACCCGTGCTGCGCGCGCTGGCGCAGGATACAGCAGCTGTTGAACTCCAAGTCAGTGTCTTAACGCGCGGAATTTTACAAGTTACTAATAATAGTCCCAGGTACATTGGGTACCTTCCCATTAAAGTCAGTCTAGCCGTTTCGGAGATTACCCAGAATATTGCGGATAAACAGACACACATATATAAAAATGTCAAAAATTGTTTTTTGTAATCACCAATGCTGAAACATCATGTTAACGAAATGTTTTCAATATTACATACCGACACGGATTTCATGGAAATTAAAATGAACTGTATCAATATACACTCTGCTACGTTAAGCACTTAGTGTACCTGATGCTCGATTACCCCTTCACTTAAGAAATTCATTTATTTATAAGATAAGGTATTCATTCGGCATTAGCGAGGATGCGCCGGTTTTCACTTTTATAAAAAATTATTCCTGTGGTTTCCAGGTGTGGTCGTTACACGCGCTATCAGTGCTGGTAGACGCGTCAGGGCCGATGTTCCGCGGCCATGTGGAGTCCACCCTCAACTTAGCACTGAAGCTGCTGTTCAGCTCGCCGCCTTACCAGGAGGATCTGCACCGCGCCGTCGCTCGTCTACTCTCCGCTCTCATTACAGTCGTTGGTCCTGAATTACAAGGTATATATGTCATTTCAGTTTTTTAGAGGCCTCTAGGTCTAATGTGTACTGAGTAAGGGACCATCCCTTTGCACTTTAACGCCTTGCTACACCTAAAACTGTGTTCTATGCTGAAACTCGTATGATATTCCGAGATATCAAGAACTTTGAAAACCTAAAAACCGCAAACTAAGATGTTTTTCTAAGATTGTTATGCTAAAAGTGACAAAAGCAAACAGTCACCAGATTTTGCTAATATAGCGAAGTGACCTTTGCCTATAGTCATCTACAAGATTTAAAATCAAATTAATATTAAATTAACTACTTTACTGTAGTATGAAGGAGCCAGCCGTAAACCAGCACAGGAACGGCTTAGTCCCTCCTGCGTACACTGAGCTACCGTTCGCTACAATTTTAAAATATTTGGCGTTTATAATAAGTCTGTGTAATAATCTCTTTTGCTTCATTTTTTAGTCGCAATACATATATACTTTTTTCTATTCTATTCTTAAAGGTAGCAGATTGCGTACCTTCCAATATTAAGAGATGTATGTGGTTTTTCATTAATATTTGTAATTAGCGGGCGGCGGCGCAATGAGCCGCTTCATCTGCGCGTGCGCGGCGCTGCAGGAGTGCGGCGGCGGCGCGCGCGCGGAGAGCATCGGCTGTCTGCAGCAGCTGCAGATGTTCTCGCCGCGCAGCATCAACCTGCATCTGCTGGTGCCGCAGCTCTGCGTCAGTATTGCACCAACACTAGCTGTTGCTCGCAACGAATTACAAAATAGCAAATAGCCTATGTTACTCATTGATAACGTAGCTTTTTAATGAGGTATTTTTTAAATCGGCTCAATAGTTTTTGAGTTATATCAATACATCCATCCTTCGACATCCTACCACATCTTCACTTTGCTCTAGGTGGGATCGTGGTTTATACACAACTAGCTGTTTCTCGCGACTTCGCACGCGTGAAATTAAAAAATAATAAAAAGAATGTAGCCTATGTTTCTGGCAGATAAATTACGGTGTAAGAATTTTTAAAATCGGCCCAGTAGTTTTTGAGTTATTTCAATACATGCAAAAATATAAATCTTTCCCTTTTATAGTAATAGTATAGATTAAAAAATAATAAAAATATTTCCTATTTATAATGTTAGTATTTAAAAATTTTAAAATATGTTCAATTTGTAGCGTGATCTATCGAGTCCCGAGCTGTCAGTGCGGCGCGCCGCGCTGTGCTGCCTCCGACAGCTGTCGCAGAAGGAGGCGGCCGAGGTGTGCCGCTACGCGCTGCTGGCCAAGGACCACGTACCAGCCAAACCGTACTGTGGTTAGTCAAACTATTTACAAATATATTCAAATATATGTATTTTTTTGTCGTAAACCATATGAAACGCCTAAACGCACCCACGACACCCAGAAAATTTAAAAATCATGATAACTCAAAAATCGTAAACTTTTGCATCACCTGACGGGAATACGAATTACCAATAATCATTATATCTATCAGATTATTTAACATAATTCAAGGTCGGATTATTCCTCGCAGCTTTCATCTCTGAAACTAATCAATCGGTGCCGACATTAGATTTACTAATCATACGTAGCTTAATATACAGGTGATTGGTAATAGGTAATATGCATGTTTTTTTCTTTTTTATATAATAAGTGGTAATTAGTGATTCTTTTCATTTATTTTTTATTTAAAGTTAGTTTGGATATCGTGTTTACAGTAAAATACTTCAAGAGTGCATTTCTAATTAAACTAACGTAAATAAACTGTGTATTGGCTACACAGCGACGCTATAATCGATAAGTCGATTGCTTTGATCAATACCGTTACGTTTCAGAAGTTAGTAAGGGAATTTTAAAAAGGACACTTTTTAATGTTTAATTTTCGTCACTAAATCACATCATATTAAAATCATTACACGTATGTTTTTATAGTAACAAAGAATGCTCAAAAAAAGTTTGGTCCAATTTGGCGTCATATGCATATTGCCTATTACAAATAATTCTGTATACAAACAGATTACTTAACATGATTCAAGGTCGGATTATTCCTCGCAGCCTTCATCTCTGAAAGTAATCGGTGCCGACATTAGACTTACTAAGCATAGCTTAATATACAGGTGAATTGTAATACGTATTCTCGTTAGTAGGTGTTATAGTGGACCTGTAATCAATGACACCAATGATACCAATGCGGCTGTACGTGTAGGTGTGACAATAACGAGCAGCGGGCTGCCGGGCGCGCTGTTCGCGTACCTGGACACGGAGCGCGACGGCGCCGCGCTGTCGCACGCGCGCGACACGCTCGCCTGCTGCCTGCCGGCGGCGGCGCGCGCGCTGCACGACTGGCTGCAGCTCGCCAAGAGGGTGCTCACGCTGCGTCTGGGTATGACGCTTTTTTTTTCTCGCTGGGCAAATGCATTTACGCATCCCCCCCCCGTTACCAGGGGGGAGGTATGTGGGACTCGCCGGCCGAAAGGATGGAAGATTTTTTTTTTTATTTATTTACGTACAGAAAAGAAATACATAAAAATTTACAAATAAAAATGTCGCCAAACTGCACAGCAGTTTGTTGGCGACAAACACCCATTTCTTATAAATATACCTTAATGTATCTAATATATATATATATATATATAAGAATAAGTAGGAGATTTAGGATTAGGTAGTAGGTTTAGTAGGTAGTAGGTAGTAGGAGATATATATATATATATATGTATATATATATATATATATCCATCTAAGTATATATATATATATATATATTAGATGGCCGGAATACCCACTAAAAACCCAGCGGTGTTCTTCTGCCCGCCAGTGGCTGGGTCACGGGAACGCTTGTGCTTTCTTCTGCGACCCAGCCGGCGTCATTCGCTAACGCGACGCCTGACGCCTCCCACAACAAAAGCGAACATACAACTGCCATAATATAACAGTGCTAGTGCCCGCTTTAACATCTTAGCACTGTAGGGCCGGCACGCCCGGTGTAATACCACGACCACACAGAATAAAGGCGTGAAATGGAAGCAATTCCGTGTTTCGTCTGATGAGTGTGGTGCCGTAGGCCTAATTTAAGTCCCTTTCTTTTTACCACCCTTTTATTATAAGGAGAGGTTGGGAAGAGGAAGTGGATTTGACGGTGGAAGAGATGCATAGGAAGGGGAAATAACCTCATTATGTGCGTCTCCTCCTCCGTCATATAAGGGTAGGCAACGCATCTGCAATTGCAGATGTCTATGGGCAGCGGTCGCTTCGCCATTTTGGCGGTTTCAGGTGGCCGCTTGCTCGTTTGCCACAAAAAACCCAAGCATTTTTACGCGATCCACACTTGACCAGTACAGTTGGATAGTTGCAATCATATATTGTCTGGACTCAATGGCGCCCGTTACTGTTCACACATGTGACATTTACAGCCGAATACTGAAACAAATCTCAAACACTGAGCAAAACAAGCGCCGCTTACTATCTGACAGATGTCAAAATTTCATAATGTTCGTAAGGTACGGGTTTCTTACGACGATTGGATTTTTTAGCTCCCGATATTTCGGCACAGTTGCATTGGTCATGTTCACGGGCTGACTGAAGTATGTAAACTTAAAGATATAATATATAAGTCAGAATTTTATTTCAATTTAAAGTTTAAGCGTAGCCTTATTTTAGACGCTTTAATCTAATATAATAATCTTCTTTAATCTAGTATAATCAATTTTCAAAAGTATTTCCTGTTTAATAGAGGACACCACAAACCAAGAAACTGATTTCGACGGCGAAGGTGATGACGATCAAGTAGAATTCCACGCAGAGTCGGAGCAGTCAACACATCCTGCTATTCAGCCGAGGTGGTCCACAAAGGTGTTAAAAATATTAATAAAACTTCGCCTCATGTGTTAATGAGAAAATTATTTACTTATAGTCTTTATTTTTTGTAGGTGTTTGCGATGGAATGCATTCAGAAGATGATGGGAGCGTGCGAGGCGACAGGCGACAGCGCGCACTTCGATCTCGTTAAAGCTAAGGAGAAACTGAAAAATGATCCTAATGGTATGTCTGTGGAAATCATATCTTTCCGTAAAGTACTACTTAACAATACTAATTGTGACTGCCATACTTTGAAAGAAATTTGAATATCGTTTATACGAAACAAGGAATGTTATGTATTTTTGTATGTAACTTATAAACTCAAAAACTACTAAACCGATTTAAAAAAGGCTTCCTTCTTTAGAAAGCTACATTATCACTTAGTAAGGTAGGCTATATTTATTTTTAGACGCTTTTTTTAGTTAGTGTTTTATAGTTTTGTATGTGTAATGTATGTATGTACAAACTCAAAAACTACTGATCCAATTTCATTTTTTTTTACACCATTATTAAGCAACATTATCACTAAGTAACATAGGCTACATTTATTTTTAGAATTTTTAATTCCGCGGTAGTATTTAGTAAATATATTTGTGAATTCTAGGTGACTACCTATCGCTGCACGTGTCGGACCTGGTGCGTATGGCGTTCGTGTGCGCGACGGGGGAGTCTGACGCGGTGCGGCTGGCGGGGCTGCGCACGCTGCAGACTGTCATACAGCTGTTCGCGCGCGCGCCAGAGCCCGACTTCCCCGGACATCTGCTGTTGGAGCAGTATCAGGCGCAGGTGAAACAGCTGGAATTACATCAAGACAACACAAGCCAGCAGTCGTAGACCGCTTGGGGTCTGCTCGCCTGGCAATACTACGGCTACAAGACGTGAAGTGGAAGCAATTCCGTGTACAGTCTGATGAATGTGTGTGGTGGAGGCCTAATTTTGCTCTCTTTGTAAGAGTAGGCAACGCATCTGCATTTGTAGATGTCTATGGGCAGGGATTGCAGATTGCAGATGCGTTTCCGTCGATGGAGGAAGAGATGTACATAAACAGGATATTTTCCCAAATCTACTTTCTGTTCCCTTCCGTTTCTTGTAAGAAAAGTATTCACACTCATCAGACGTAACGTGGAATTGCTTCCACTTGACGCTTTCTATATGGTCGTGGTATTGCGGTGGGCGAGCCATCTAAATTATTGTTAAGATGTAAAAGTGGGGTCTACCACAGTTAACTGTGTGCCGTGTGGTGTTGCAGGTGGGCGCGGCGGTGCGGCCGGCGTTCGCGCGCGACACCGCCTCGCACGTGACGGCCGCCGCCTGCGACCTCTGCTCCGCCTGGCTCGGCTGCGGCGTCGCTAGGGACATTGACGATCTGCGCAGGTACTCTGTCTATAACTTAGCTATTTCACTATATATTAATAAAATTCGGATGTCTCTTTGCAATATCAAAAGAAAAATTTCAGATTTCGGAAAGATCATTTGCGTTGCTGATAACGAAAATCGCATTTAAAAATTTTTCGTCTGTCTGTCTGTCCGAAAGCCACGTTTGATCCGAGTAATCTCTGAAACGGCTGGCCCGATTTCGACCGGACTTTTACTGAAGGGTAGCTGACATCTATGTCATGGGCTGTACTTTTTTTTATCTTAACATTGGGTGGACGAAGTCGCGGGCAACAACTAGTTCTGTTCAATTGGATAATTTTTTTATTTCAGAGTCCATCAGCTGCTCGTCTCCAGTTTGGACAAATTGAACAAGAAAGGGAACACGACGCTCATATACAATGAGAGTATGGCTACGCTCGAGAAGTTGTCTATACTGAAGGCCTGGGCTGAGGTATGTAGTTATTAGCACATTTTATGTCACACTAGCTTTCGCCCGCGACTCTGTCCGAGTGGAATTAAGAAAAAACAAAACAAAGCCTGTGTGTTCTTCCAGATTATCTAAGTCTATGCCAAATTTAAACGAGATCTTCAGCCGTTTAGGCTACAAACTTTAAAAAACATCCATCTATCTAAACTTTGACATTTTTAATATTAGTAAGATATATGTACTTGGTTGATTTACGATGTTTTAATTTTCAGGTGTACATAGTGGCGATGATGAGCAACGACAGCGCGCCGGGCAGCTACGTGCGGCAACTCCACACCAAGCCCTTCAACAACAGGGCAGAGCTCGCCAAGTGGCGCAGCAAGGTCACATTTACTATCCTAACATACACATTAGTATAGTGTGAAATATTTAAATACATATGTCGGAGTGACGAGTGGTTTGTAGAATTCAATTCCGAAAGTAGATCATATACACGGTAATGATCTTCCATTGTGGGCGTGCGTACGTCTGAGATAATGAAATCACAATCGCGTAACATTAGAAACAGTATCCTTAGTTGACCATCGTAATTGATAACTTCAAAACAGAATAATCGAATTGCAAACATTTACAGATATTAACCAATTGATTGTATAATAACGAAACGCATCCCACCATTCAAAGAAAACTGTCATCTGTCATTTTATCGTCGTCTTGACATCTATCATCCTAATGCACATTCAGCCAGCACTCAAAATTATTAGTTGCCAGTTACTTTAATGGTTCAAAAATTAACAATCTGTCCTATAGGTGTTGCAGAACAACAATCAAATAGACAACGCTACTCCAGATGATGAGAACGAGGAGTATGGAGAATTCGAATCTAAAGGAGAAAGTCTACTGAAGCTTGTAGAACCGGAGTTAGAGAGCTTGGGGGAGAACTGGCTAGCTGCGCTCAAAGATCACGCGTTGTTGAGTTTACCACCAGGTATGTGCTGGAGACTTTAATCTTGTTAAAGTCGTACGTAAAAGTCGTTTATTTAATATATTAATATTAATTAAAATTCTCGATGCAAATCGATGAACGCCGACTACTCGCACGAAAAAGCGTGACACATTCACGCTCCGCTTGTACCGAGCGTGCGAGCGAGAGCACGGAATAAGCAATAGACAGACAATCGGTTTAAGCGTTTGGTATAAAATTATCACCTTAACTAAGAACGCATTAAGAAATGCGACACTAGTCCTGCATAACGAACAACTAATTTTAAAAAATCTACTGAACTAGTTTATTTCATATCCAAAAATATGACTTTTCTAAAAAAAACAATACTTTTTTACTATAAAAGACTTTGTCCAATCAAGGATTAAAGGTAATAAGTATAAGATGATTTGCACTCCTATTAGATATTTCATTAATTAGATAAACAAATTATATTAAATCTTCCTATTTCTCGCAACACTGACATTTTAGAATAAAGATTTAAGGTTACCGTTTCCGCAGATTAAAAATAAAAAAATGTTTTTATTTACCTAAGTTTTTGTGGTATTTTCCAGAGTTCGCGTCGCAGCTGCCGCACGGGGGCGGGGCGTTCTACTCGGCGGAGACGGCGGAGGCGTCGCGTGCGCACTACGCGCGCGCCTGGCCCTCGCTGCTGTACGCCGCCGCGCTGCGCTACAACGCCTGCACACGCTTGCCAACTGAAGCACAGGATAACCGTTAGTATACTATGTGTTTATAATATTATGGTAAAATATATTAAACTAGCTTTCGCCCGCGACTTTCTCCGCGTGGAATTAAAATAACAAAAGCGAAAGCCTGTGTTCTTCCAGACTATCCTCTACATCTATGGCAAAATTCATCGAAATAGGATCAGCCGTTTAGGCTACAAACTCTAACAAACATCCATCCATCTAAACTGTTACATTTTTAATATTAGTATATGATTTTCTGTATCGAATTAATAAAGCTAATAAAAATACTGGTTTCTTAGCACGATTGGGTTGTTTTAGTTCCCAATATTTCGCACAGTTGCCATGTTCCCCAGCTGAAAGAAGTGATATAGTACTGCAAAAAAAGCTTTTTTGTATATGATTGTTTTATTATTTTTTTCAGAAAATACAGACAGTACCTTGGATAATAGATCGACTAAAGCAGAAAACGGAAATTGTGAATTTTTCGAACCAGTTGATGAAAGGTTCCATCTATTATTTGGTAAGATATTATTTTTACAACTTAATTTTATCTATATGTCGGCTTGAGCTAGCACGACATTAGAATTACTACAAGAGATCACATGTGGGCGGCCATGGGTAAAGTCGGATTCCAGGAATACATTCACAATGCTCCACAGTCAGGATATCATCGATCTACCAAGCTCATATCGTTCAAACAATGTTCTCGCAACGACCCCTATTTTCAGAAATAATCTAAGTTTGCACGAAAGTCGCTTAGCGGCGCTCGTGTTCTAATTATGACTTAAATTCAAATTGATTTCTTCTTCTGATTGCGACATATATATATATATATATATATATATATCGGATCGGTGAACAATATCTACCATTGTTATATATATATATATATATAACAATGGTAGATATTGTTCACCGCAAATGCTAATCTCCCCAACATTTTGTACGCATCGAGGCAAACAAAATGTTGTCAATAGATCTTTGTTCGAATGAAATCGATGCAGAATAACCAATAGGACGCAACTTATAATTTTTTTTTAAATTTATTTATGGTCAATTTAAAGCTAACATACAATACATTGTAAAACAAACAAAAACTAAGGACTAATTACAAGTTTTAGCAGATGTAAAGTATTTGTACGAAAAGTCTGCATGTATACGATTTGCTTTCTGTTAGCCCATTGTTTGCCTAACTCACGTTATTTCTGCGACTATCCAGACGTAACAATATAAACCTAGCAGATATCTTTAATTTAAATTCGAGGTATCTGTATGGAGGCGCTGTGTGCGCAGCGCGACATGAGCGACCAGAACGTGGTGAGCGTGCTGCTGGCGCTCGTGACGCTGCTGGACGCGCCGCAGAACAGGGCGCGACTGCTTAAGGACAGGTACTACTGTAATATTATTCACTTCTAATCATAAAGGGCCTGTCCCACTATACGCTGATAGAGGCTGAGAAAGCTTAAAAATGTAACTGTCAGATAAAGTAACAATGTCAAATATTTCCATCACACATTTAACACGTTTATACAGTTTACAAGAATTTGGTAGGACTGACCCTAAGGGCCTGTCCCACTAAATTGTAAATTGATAACAATCCAAAGTGTATAATATGACGGTTTTACATAACAATAAAACCGATATTATATGCCTCTGGAAAACATACAGCATTGCTTATGAAGATGCGTTATATACTTAGCTTGAATTTCGCGGTCATTCGCCGTTGACAG